ATGCAATCGGCCCTTACTTATTTCGCGATTATCCTGGTTTCATGTCACAGCTTTTTTTATCATTCCCAGACCGCATCACCCATCGATGGCTCATGACCAGCATGTTGATATTCATTGGAGGCTGCTGCTGAGATATGAGAGTGATCGCTCAGATAGTTGTGCAACAGCTGGTGTTGAATTAAAAGATGCCACGACGCTCTGGAGGATCATGCGCCTCCGATGGGAAAACCTCCCCACTGGTACACATTACCTACTGGTATGGTAAACATTTAGGGTTTATGTGTAAAGCTTTCTTGCTGTAACTGCCTCCCGATAATTTCTAATCTGTCATGAAACGCAGTTTTCATCCGTTTACTTAACGAAAAGTCATAATGCTGTGAAAAATTAAGTTAAATTTCAAGAACATCAATTCTTTCTTTGAACGTTACCACACAGCATACACGAAACGGTGATACCTTTGGCCCTTCAAGATATCACCCAAGGAAAGGAGTTTGAAAGGTTTAGTTCGGCAGCTAGTACGGATCTACCGTACTACACTGAATAATCGACACGGCTGACCATCAGCCACCAGAAACATGATAGTCGTCCCCCATTCGGTCCACCAAAATATTTCACGAACTGGTGGAAGCGGTGCAATAATTTTCCACCATCATGACATGACAATGATAGTAACAGATCTTTAGCTACGGTTATTTTTTGCGGGGATTAATGATGGTATATTAGGCTTTCTTACATTCCAACATGACGTATTCTCTACTAGAGAAGGAGAGTCTTTTGTCCTTATATCTTGTCAGGTATATACTCTTCAGGTACCACGCACAAGCGTAAAACTGAAAAATTACAGTAACTAAAATTCCCATATGTTTGTAACAATTTCATGTTTGATTCTTCCTTTGTTCATGTTCTTTATTATGGTTTGAATTCTTTGAAAGAGAGGTTCAGGTGTTAGACGATGTGGGATGTATAGATGGAAAATACTTTATGAAAGGCGGGTCAGTTCATTGTGTGTGGAATTTAAAAGGGGGCCATTACAGGGCTAGGGGGAGTTCATAAGTGCTGATTTCAATGGGGGACGAGGGGAGGTCGTCGCAAATGGCGTAACCGACTCCATCCATGGCCATGTGAGCAGCAAAAAGGGGGGAGACGACGACGATGACATACATCCTCTTATTATGCATGCTGCTCTGTGAAAGAGGCTCAAATCTCTCTCTCTCTCTGGGCCCAAGCTCTAATTCTACCCCTCAGTCACAAAGCCGCCTGGCGTAGGGTCAACGGCAGATGTTGCAATAGGCCCATAGCCTATATCTCCCCCCTCTCCTCCCTCCCACGGATGCCCGATGAATCCAAATCGGTGTATCCCATCACATGGGAGAACTCCCATGGTGGGAGCTGTGTTCTTTTTTCAAACCTATCGCAACATGGATCAAATCGGGATGAAGAGAATCTATTGGTGTACTGAAGTTGATGAAATATCAGAAACATTACGCTAATCTGAAAGAAGGCGAACGTCACATATACCTGTTAATCACTTTGAAATAAATCTTTGAGATTTGTTTCAATAGTATGAACAAATTCCCTTTAGATCCGTCTGAGCTATGAAATACATGTCAAATGAAAACCACTTTCATGGCACAGACCTTAATGATACAGCTCTAATCACTTTCACGGCTTCATCAAAGTATTACGGCGCTAGAGTTACTACCTATTTTTTCTGATCATGCGGATGAATCCCTCAAAAGCCTTAAGGTGAGAATCTAAGACCCTGTTAGTAGGAAATGGAAACAGATGAATTGGGGTGATGTTTTTCACGTAAATTCGGCAGAAAGATTTGGCAACCATGATGACTTCTTCCCACCTTCCCAAACATGACTTGAATGGGGGGCATGGGGGGGGGGGACGAATGAAAAATGAGCAACGACCAGAACCGAGCTCTTCCATTGGTTCCCCGGACTCTCCGTTCCGCCAATGGGAGGGCAGGACGCCAGCTGCCGGGCACCCTCCCATTCGTCGAGGGCCTAGGAGCCTTTTGATTTATGACCGTCCAGCAATCAGTCACTTTGTCAATCTTCTCCGTCCTCGTTCATCATTCTTGACAAGTAGAGTTTGCTCCGAAAGAAGAAGACTTGGTCAAGCATCTTTCCTCGAAGCATGGATCTCAGCCTTTCCACCTCTCCCGGAAGCAGACCTTCCAGTAAGTCCTACCTTTGGGCAGAAAATGTTGAGTTTTTTCACGTTAGTCCATCAGTGACCTTTGTTTACAGATCAGTATAAACCTACTAGTGCTACTGGTAGGACGATGCAAATATATTTTGTTTTAATAAATTTTCTTTCAGTCCGGGCTTTTGTAACTTCCGTGCGTTTTTAGCGCGCGTTCATACCCTATTGCTGCGGAGAAACCAGAACAAGTTGAACATTTCCAAAGCTGAGACTCAATTTTTTAAAAAGTAAAAATTTCCTCAAACTAAAGTTTTCTCTTTAAAGAAGTAACTACAGCAGTATGCTGTTTTCTCCAGACTGGAAGGCGCGATCAGACAGACGACAGAAATCACATACTGCAAATCTTTATGACTCTAAAACGACTCGGAAGTCTAGCGAAATGGCAGAGTAAATTTGACTTCGAATTCACTTCACGTCCGAAATTATATTCTCTGTAAGTCTCAGATATAGCTGAAATTCTAGTGTTTAGCTCAGTAAAATCCCTATAGCGCTCTCATAACGACCTGATTCTGGAATCAATCCTATCGTGCATTCTTGAAGTCATGTCAGTAGCAAATTTAGTATGCTGTTATGAAGGAATAAACAGTCATACTAAAAAATGTGCAAAAGATGCAAATGAAACTGTTAGAACAGGCATAAGCTACATCTCATACTACAGGTTGTATAAACGTGTTTTGTGTATTGATTTCTTTTGCCGATGAGCACTAAACACCCTTTATATTTTCAAACCACTTTTGTAGCAAAATGCATCGAGATGCATCGATACCTTTTATGAATATAAATGTGAAATTATAGTAGGAAGATGGAACCGTGGATTCAGAAAAGACGGAGATGAGTTAGGTATGGTCATGAAATGGATGCATGCAAGCATGCTCAGAGTCTCAATGCAATGGCCGGGAAATAACATTCCGTCTCCAGTTTCCTTCATTATCTCCTTCTCTCGCATCGCACTCGGCTTCCTTCCGAGAAAAAGTCAAGCTCAGTTTCTTCATATAATCCGTCATGGACAGTCCTGCTCAGTCTCGGAACGAGTGCATCAAAATCGGTATGAACTTCTGAAAGCATTGTACTTAACCGAGTCAGTCAGTTTTAAAATGCATTAAATTATCATTTTCGTTGCCATATCTCGGAGGTGACTTCGTTACGAGGCGTACTTGGCTTTTAGACAAAATTTCTCGTCATATGCCGTAGGATGTGTAGTCATTAGGGCACTCTTACTCTATATAGTGTATCTATGGCTTTCTGGCGAGAATAATAGCGAATGCCGAGATGCGGAACAGCTGCATCTTCTAAAAGGTCTAACCCTCGAGGACGAAACCTTATCCGGCGCCAAGAGTGTCTGGTCCCTTCAAATCGATAAGGGGGGAAGTCGGGAGAAAGCACCTAGGTGTCTTTTCATCTTTCTTAAGGGGTGAGAATTATAAGTGAGTAACTTTAGATCTATAACGGGGGTTTGCCGCCAGACTTGATCCTCTTCTCTTTGTATCTTCATGAGCCCCGCGTGTTTATCTCTCATCTGCCCCCTTTTTTTGTATCCGCGCGTTCTCTCGACACGACGGAAAGACCTCAAAGGATCGCAAACGAAGCCTTTTCAAAGCGTACCTGTTGCTGGTATTCTAATGCATCTTTGTTTTCGTGCCTTAGTATGTTTAAAATCACCTCATTTCCTGCACGATTGGAAAGGCATTAGCGCTAAGTAAAAACTGCCATATCTGGTATCAGCCCCTGGCAACATAGGTTGTTGCTATTTAGCAATAATAACCCCATCCCAATCCAAAAAAAGAGGAAGTAAATACGAGGTTCATCCTAAATCCAAATGTGTTAACAACTGTTTCTAATGGATCACATTGTCACGAATCCTTCCAATCAAATACAACTGGATTTATCATCTTTCCGGATCTTACTATACTTGTAGTTAACACCTATTGCGTAATCGAAGAAAATTTACATTTTAAGAGCCGATAACTAATCATGCATTTTCGTCAGTACATTAAATAGGCCTACCACTTAAAAGGCAAATATTTCAAATATAATTATGAAGTTTGAATTTCAATGCGATGAACCGGGGCAGGATTTGAATCATATGTATATATTTCTTACCGTTCGCCTATTTGTTTAACCGATTGAGTCAATTCGAAGCCTGCCCCGGTTGCACCTCCGATGCTGCCGCGCAACCCGATCTCGGCAATTTCCGTCACCCCACTCCGCAGGAAGACGTTAAACGTAGCGGCGAGGCATTCTTCCCGGCGCCGTTTCAATGTAGTAGTGACGTGCGCGGTGCGAAAAAGGTTGACATGTAAAAATCGTTCTTATTTTACTTACTGGGGCATAATTCTTGGATCTGAAAGCAACACTCGATCTCTTGCGTCATTCTTAATCTCGATGCGACTGGCACGAGCCAATCGTGATAATTAAAAAATTCCAATTTGCAAGGAATGCCGAAGCTACTTTATCAGACTCGAACTGAACATAAAAAACTGCAGTAAAAGCTCCCCTTTCTTTGAAGCATCGTTGCGTCATGTCAGTTTATTTTCAAATTTCCATGTATTTTTCCCCCCTACTCGGGTCCGCCGGAATGGAGTAATGCGTCTTACCGGTATACAATGCCTTGATGAGTGGAAGCCGGCATTTCAGTGAATTCGACCGCAAAATGATTTTGTTGTTGAACTTTGTGGCAAAGGGGATGCATTTTGTCGGCTGACTGACTTTATCCCACGGTCGGGTCCCCCATGGGAGGGAAGAGACCCGGCATAATAAGGGGAATCCCTCGTCCATTGCAGCCAATGGACGGTAATGCCTTCTGCCTTATTGGCTCCCCACCTGCCTATAGTCGTGGTGCCTCCATCTCCCGCTTTCTCTCTCCCTGTTTCCTCGTCTTGCTTTCCTTTTCATAAATAAAAAATGAAATGTTTATTTTTTTATACTCTCAGGTCGAATATTGTTGGATATACCTTGCAAGGTGTGTCGGGATCATTCCTCCGGCAAGCATTACGGGATCTTTGCCTGCGATGGGTGTGCTGGCTTTTTCAAGGTAAGGCACGATCCAATCAGTATAATGAGAAATGCATTGTCATTTTGCCGCGAAAAAAAAAACAAAGGTTAATAAAATGAATAAAATCGTTTAAGAAAAAAAAAACGAAAGTTGCTCATCGGCTCTTATCTAAGCTTTCTGAACCTGGAACCTGAATATTGCATTCAAGAAACATGTAACAGTTCATGCTACATATATCTGATTACCCTGATTTGGTATCTGCCTATGCCTATTAAAGAAATGGTTGGCACGAAAAGAACAACTCCGAGAATGGCTTCTTTGAACCGCTTCAATAGGAAGTTTTGTGCTAAAATGGAATATCCCTTTCTTTGCAAAGCAGTGTGCCGGTAAAGCTGCCTTTGCAGCATGGCTCCATTTATTCAAACTACATATAACTATTCCGATGTAAATATTTTTATTTCAGGCAGTTCTGGACGAAATGAGTAGTATTTTCTTCCGTCACGCTGGTTTTTGTATATCTATTCATAACTAATCGAAATTGAGAATCAGAATGATTCATTTTCATTTTCAGACACATATATGTATCATTAGAATTTAATGTTCTTTTACACTGTAGAATGGAGAGGATTAATTTTCAGAACCAATAATCCCTTTTAAGGAATCAATTTCTTTCTTTGCTGAAGAGTCGAATTTTAACACCTTTGAATGAATTATCCAAACAGTTCCACGTATTGGCTTAAGTGACGGAAAACCCCCAATTCTTTTACAGAGGTCGATTCGGAGAAATCGACAGTATGTGTGCAAGGCAAAAGGAGAAGGATTATGCCTAGTTGACAAGACCCATCGGAACCAATGTCGGGCTTGTCGACTCAAGAAATGCCTTGAGGCGGGGATGAACAGAGAAGGTAGGGACCACTTATAGGCTATCTTCAACTCATTTGGCTTATTTCGTTCTACTTTCAGACCTCCGGGATTCGAGGGTCGTTTTCAATTTTAGTCTTAAGGTTTCCTCGTGTTGCTACACCAGACTTCCTCTCTCGATAACAATTATGCTTTGAAATATGCGTATAAGTGGTTCTGGTTCACGATGGTTTTTAATTAAAAAAAAAAATATATATATATATATATATGTATTTCTGAATGTTTCCTTTTTAACCCTCAAGCTGTGCAGCACGAGCGGGGCCCGAGGAATTCTACGATCCGCCGGCAGATGTCCTTGTTTTTCAAGGACTCTCCACCAGACTCCACGACTCCGCCAGCCGGACTGGGAGGCCCCAGAGGGGTGCACGGGGGTGGGGGTATGTCCCTGAGTCCTGCAGGGTGCACAGTGATGACGACGGTTCCCTTGTTACCTCCGATCTTCACGACGGCATCTCCGACTGCTCTGTCTCCGTCCACATCCGGTCTCTTCTCTCTCCCCAGGCCTTCTCCTTTCCTCTGCATCCCCACGCCCAAGGTGAGATGACCGATGCCACTATGGCATTCCTGATTTAATTCATAAATGTGCACATGAGTCCAAATTGAGACCTCCACGGGTGGAGATAAGAGACTTTGTATACAGTACATGCCCTAAGATTCATCCGTGGTGTGGGCTTCGTAATCTTTGATCGTTCTCGGGAACGATCCAAGATCAGTCAGTCCGTCAGTCAATCATTTAAATTAGATTTATTTTCAATTTGACCTGAATTTTGGCGATGGACCTCGCTTCAGAAAGCACGTGAATTTTTCGTGCTCAGCTATATCAGATATGGAAGAAAATGTTCACTCGGATCCTGTATGACCTTTGCTGTTCTGGTTACCAGTACCCCAACCAGCTCTTGGCGGAGTTCGTGGACAACCCAGAGGTGATCTGCGAGTCGGCGGCCCGACTCCTGTTCATGAACGTTCGCTGGGCCAAGACCCTGCCGGCCTTCACGGCCTTGCCCCTCAAGGACCAGCTCCTTCTCGTCGAAGAAGGTTGGAGGGAACTGTGGGTATTGAGTGCGGCCCAGTTCCTCCCACCCTTCGAGGTGGGACCACTGCTGAAGCATGCAGGGCTGGAATTGCCCTCGGACGGCGAGGAGAACCCTCGAACCAATGCCGTCCTCACCGAGATCCGCACTCTCCATGATATCATTGCCCAGTTCAAGGCGATGGCCGTCGACCCAACCGAGTTCGCCTGCCTTAAGGCCATCATACTCTTTAAAACTGGTAAATCCCTTCCCATTTCTTTCTTCGAATTCTTTGAAATTTCCTGAGTAAACATGGAATTATATTTCATTTTCGAATATCATTCATTAAAAGTATCGAAAATTGAGTCTCCCACAGCTCACTACGCTATCAAATCGAACAGTGTGTATAACCAAACATATCAGTAAATCACAGAAACGAAGGAAGACGACGACGATTAACCATCATTTCATCATCCTGGATCATACCGACCAAGGGTGCAACATCAAGCACCGTTGTCGCTAATGATGCAGGAAAAGGGGGCATTTGGGACATGAATGCATTGGGGGGGAAATAACATTTTGATACTACGGCACCTACATGCATTAAGAAATTTTTAAATACAAATGAAAATGAAAGAGAGAATAGGAGACTTGCATTTGCGTATGATTTAAATATGTATTGCTAATAAGTGCATGTTGTTGTGTGGGATGGACGTGTAGTTTTCGAGTCGGGTTCTGGAGAGCTGAGAGGGCTGCGTGATACGGGAACGGTGAGGATGCTGCAAGACCAAGCCCAGATGATGCTTGGCAAATACATCGGGCATGCCTACCCCATGCAGCCGTTTCGCTTTGGGAAACTTCTTCTCCTCCTCCCTACCTTCAAGAGCATCACCGCCCGGACTGTCGAGGACCTCTTTTTCAAGAAGACCATCGGCAACATTCCCCTCGACCGACTCATCTCTGACATGTACAAGTCTAACGAATTCTGACACTCGCCGTCCTAGATGGTCCACATCTCTCTTTCTGCATTTGTTTGTTGTTTTTCCTGCCAGTGAACTATTCTTGTAGAATTTATTTATAGCTTGTACTTCCGCTATTAAATCAACATTTCAGGAATGGTTCGATTATTTTTAATTACAAACTCCGTCGAGGACTAATTAATAGCCGACATCACTCGGTAACGATAAGATAATACAAAATCTATTTTATAGCAAAGGATGTCCGCCGGAGATTTGCTGCCTCTCTTGCTGACAGTCCGCCTCACCTCAGAAAAAAAGACGCTATGACATTTGGGTTTTGCTTGTCTGTTCTCGGTTGTCTCCCAAAATATTAGAAATTAATCGCCAAGTTTTGGCACGCTAAATTTGAGCTGTATAGCGCGACGAGAACCTCTCCTTTCGGGCTAAAAGACTCGTGCGGAAAATGAAGTCATGCTTGGTGAGCCCTTTAGAGCGTCGATGTGAGAAGAAATCGAGGCAGATGCATTGTAGTGAAAAAAAAAGGAGGAAATGTAACCTTTCCAAAGATATAGCGCCAGCCAAATGCTACCAGTGGAGAGGTTGAGGGGGGAGGGGGGGTTGGCCATCCAGCCACCATCGTTCCTCCCAGCAGTCGTGGTCAAAATTGTTCTCCTTATTAGCTTCACATGGTAATAATTTGTCAATGTACCACTTGATTATAGTCACTTATAAGAAAAGTTCATCTGAATTGCACAAAACGCTATTGGCGAAAGATAGTTTTTCAGATAGTCTAAGTGCTTGCCCTTCTTCCCCAAAAAGCCATATAAAGTGGCCTCGGCATCAGGCATCGGCTTCAGTGCTTGATACGCTTGATTATTATCGGTTGCAAGATCCATATTGCAATGCATTTCATATTCTAAATGTGCACTTAGTGACATTTTGAATGGACACTGTGAAAGGCTTCGAGGCAAGAATGTGAAACGAGCAACGACGGATTTCCCACTGTTGTCTTTTCGTGGGAGTGAAGATAGCAAGGGATTCATTTCTGAATGGAAAAGGGGGAGGGGGCGAAATAAAAGGAGGGAAGTAACCGGAGAAGTTAGAGGTTCAGGCCCGGTGATCACGGACGTGGAAAGAAAAAAAAAAAGACAAACGAATTTTCGGCTCATTTAGAGATTAGCCTCCTTTTGCTTGACTGGCCGCTGCAGACCCCGTCGGAAATCCGCCTGACTCTTTGAAACATGATTCCGACTTATTGTTTCTCGCCGTTTTCCTTTCTAACTTCATGATACTTATTCGATGGAAAGACAAACAAAACAGGAACTTACCGCTGGCAACATGTGTGAAGCTCCTGAACGTCGGCGAGGGAGAGAAGGGATAAGACTGAAAGTAATGTGCTTTCGTTCCATTCAGAAGTATTGACAGGTGGTACATTCCGAAACCCGTTTCTTGAAACGACCAAAAGAGCATCTGTTTCATAGCACCTTGACACGTATTTTATTGATTTGAATGCGGGAAAAGAATCTCCCTCTATTCGTCACGTCTTCATACGTTCCACTGAGGAAATTAAAAGAAAAAAAAATCGGTACTTGTGAGCAATAGAAGGAGCTTCAACTGACGGAATGTAGCTGCTCTTGTGGCTGATAGGCATGCGTGTCGTCGACATAGGAAACCCAGGCACGAAATCGCCGTTGGACCTGCAAGAACAGGGGGCACTTCGCCCCGATCTGTTGAGAAACTTGGTCGAATAACGAGAGAGCCAGAGACATGATAAATATACCTAGACTGGTCATGGCGGTCGAAGATCTCACATCGATTTGAAAGGCTGGCGGCCATTGCTGATGGCGTCAAGGAGAGGATGAGGCATGAGATTCGCTGAGGCGCACAGTAGTCATGGGCAATGCGTCCAGAATTCGGATGCTATGACAGACCACTAACTGGGTCGGGTATCACGTCTTACAATGATGAATCGGGCTTGATAACTATTGAGCCTTTTGCGGGGTCTAACCTTAAAGGTGCCAGAATTTTCCTAGCCTCATTTAGACCATGAGCCTAACTGCATGGAAACTGATAATGCACCCTCTCATTAAGTGCAAGGAAAATAAAGACGGAATAGGTCAATTCAAATTTCAAAATACCATACTTCGTCACTGAAGACCGGGTAGGCCTAGGCCCACCCAGTCTTCGTAGAGAGCGTTGAAACTCAGTGTAGTGTGACGTCATGAATTGGAAAGCTATGCGTTTATTGGTCGATTTGACGCCATGAGCGATGGCGTCAAAAGATTCAGACTTCGTCCACGCTCTCAAACCGCTAAAGAGAGAACGGACTCCATGGGTCTTCATTATCGCCTTGAGTGCTTTTCTCTAACTTTGATGCCCAGGCGATGAAGTTCTCGAGACGCTGAGGTTATTGCCAGGACGGAAAGATACAACTACACGGTCACTGGCTGAAACCCCACACGGTAAAGGTGCACGGTAAACGTGCTCAATTGAAACTAGACCAACTAGAACTAGGCAAAATAATCAGTCAGAAGCCTTCCTATTGACCTTCTGCTCCCACGCGGCATCAACAACAGCGGCCAAGGCGAAATAGAGGAAGCAGAAGCTTAGCGGCGTTCATGCAACTCTCGCCCTTTCATTCCCATCCATTTAGAGGAAAGCGTTATCTGTGTTAGTCAATGGGAATCACAAGTTTTTACGATTCCCGCTAGATGCCAGGAAAGGCTCGAGGACAAGGCAAATCGATCCCTGCAGGAGCAGACGACGCGGTGAGCCCTTCACAAGAGGAGGGTTTCGTTACCCTCACGTGTTGCACCGGCTTCACCTACTTCCTTCTTCCCTGGCTACTTTCCATCGCATATCCTCTTACTTGATTCGTTCCTGCTGGAGTTTCGGTAAGTCTCCTCAACCACCATTCCGCGGAAAGAATAAACTTAATGGGGGCTCTCCTGTCAGTGTCCTTGTAGATAATGTGGCATCGATATGGGATAGCTCTCGCTTAGGTTCCGCGAACGGGAGGAACGCAAGGCTAGAATGCAAGAGAGAGGGGCGCATTTCGTAATTGGATTCTCGCTCCCCCTTCGGCTCGACTTTTTTTATTTTGCCCGCAGCGTTACCGCCTGTCCTTCACACACTCTGTTCCACTGATGTATGGCACTGAACTAAGGAAAAGAACTGGAGATGGCATGCACATGGGAACAGTTAGGCATGCTTCCTGCAATTAGAAGCCATACTGGTTGATATCATGGTGGCTCTTCACCAGTGACTCCTGGGGGATTTTCCCGACTTTTCATCACAGCATTCTCCTAAATGCTTATACAATGAGAAGCAGCCTCGGCACAGCAAGCGTAATCGGTCATCAGAGGATCCAGAGGATGTCGGCTCCATTGAGTTGTTCCAAGACTTCTTCCTATCATGCACAATGATCCCATATTTCAGTTTAGGCTAATGGCTGTAAAGGGCGACCGGGAAACGGTCGCAGCAGAAAGCAGGTGATTCAGATGCAAAGTGATCCATATAGAGTTTCAAGCGGGCCTTTGGAGTGCATTGGCGGGGAACAGGCACCGCGGGATCATTGGAGCAGCTCCACAGAAGGAAGCGTGCCTTGTTGGGACCCGCCATCACCTCTACCCAATTCCTCGTGGTAGCCCTTCGCCCTTGTTAGAATAAGTTTACCGTTGCATGCTAAGTTGAGGTTCGATTGACTTTATGTCTGAGGTCTGCCGTAAAATAGGCCGACTGTGATCATTTGAGGGAGGCGTAAATTTATGTCCATCATAGGGCCAGCAATCCCATCACAGGCTGGCCTGGAACTTGAGACCCATCCAGGAAATTGGGAGCCCGCACCCTGAAAATAAAAATTTTTTGGCCAGCTGTCATCAGGCCCGTGAAATTATCCAAGGAATAATTAAGCTTCTTGTGCCATGGCTGCCTTCCATCATACTCGCATCAGGAAGAAAACTGGGAAGGGAAATCGCAGAAAATTCTTTGGAGTGAATGGAGAACCGCCATGTTACTCATTAAGATGGCTTCTAAGTGCAGGAAGCCCATCTCATTACGCGTCGTCCCCAAGCCCCCATCCGTTCTTCAGTTTCATTGTTCTGTGATGCATGACCATCTGAAGCGATGAAGGTGATGTATTTGTCAATTTATTATTAAACCAAATGGGTTTTCGTTGGAACGCTTGTGCTGTTGATTAGAATGAGTGCGAAAGAGAAAAGAACGAAATATATATATTATTCTTTCGTATGGTGAAGTGATTATTAACGTAGCAACATTATACTGTACATATTATGTATATTAATGTCGAGGTGATTAAGCTGTCTGGAGGCTTCTAGGGGCAGTTCGTGGATGTTTGAAATGCTGCCAGCGAAAGATAATGAGGAACGCAGACTTCCATTTATTCAAGACCGCCCATCCCAGTTTAATTCGGTTGCAGTGAAAGCAGGCGGAGGAACGTCCTCTGATATCCTCTCCAACGATCAACTTCTGTACACTTTCAATTAGTAACCATCCCCAGTGCTCCGACTTTCCGAAATTCATATTTGAGAATGAGCAGTAGGCGACCTCCCGTCCGCGAAGTCACTTCCTCCCGTCCAGTCGCAAGATTTCTGCCACACCATGCGAGAAAAGGAGCGAGAAAACGTCTCGCCATCGACGTATGACGAAATCTCTGATAGGAATCTTCCTGTCTGACAGTCTCGACTTTGCATCGTCGCCCATCCCTCTGGGTTTAGGATATTTTTATTTTTTATTTCTTCATTAAAAAAAATTAATTTAGAGATAAGGTTACTGTCGGTGTAGTCAACGTTTGGCAAATTGGGAGATTCTACATTTATGCTGTTTAACATATTTATCCATGACTGTTCGGCGCATTCGGGTATCGGCTTTTTTGCTTTCGGCATTTCGTTATGGACATAATTCCAACTGCAGTGCAGTTGGAGTCGAACCCATCTAGTACGCTCTCAAGTTCCTTTCTATACTGGATCATAAAGATGGTATCTTTGGAAAAAAGAAGTATATTTACGTCGACACCACCTGCAGACCTCCCTAAGAGCGGCCGGAAAGAGAGACCGACGAGAGGTGGCCAATAAGTTATAAACCTATGACCATAAGGTGATAATTTTTCCATAATACTTCCATTACGAGAACCTGACAGTCAAAGAACCGACACTGACGTATATTTCATGTCATTGGTGCCGCAGCAATAGTTTCTATGTTTCGATTCGACACCTTCGGTATTGCTGCACATGGTGACTAAGCTTTGGTTGAACCGATACTCAAAAGGCCGACATACCGCATAGCCCAAATGCTCAACATTGTCACTCTCAAGAATAACGCACTTATCCCATCGTCCCTTTAGCACCTCCACGCCGGTCTTAAACCGCTCCTTCGACAACCTTTCCAACTTTCCTTCAGTTTCTCGCTTCACCGAATTGACGTCCTGAAATCTCATCCCTCGCAGATATTCCTCGATATGTCGAAACGAGTAGAATTCATTGATTGGCAGGTCGGGTGACTATGAACGCGGCAATGGTTTGAATGTTTGAATCCAGCGTGATGGAGGATGATCTAAGAATGCTTGTGTGGGCTGTTGCATTCACATGCAAAATGCAGACCCCTTTTCTCAAATTTCTCCTGGGTTGCTTCTCGATGAATTCGCGCAATCTCCCCAATTCCCAGATTCATTGCAATATATTGACCCGTGATCTTATTACCGGGAGTCGTGCAGTTGATATGAATGACTCCCGTCATCCCTCAGAAATTCGTCGCCATCACTTTGCCACTCGATTAACGAGTCAAAAAATTCCTGGGTGGCGGATTGTCCTATATGTATCCCTGCATTGACTGTTGCTTGGATTTTGAGTTCAGCAGTGAAGCCAGGTTTCATACCCAGTGACTAACTGCGACAAAGGTCCGTTAATCGGCGCTGAACCGGTCCAAATTCTGTGGACTCACCATATCACCACGTTGGATGATGGAAAAGATTCGGGGAACCCAGCGGATAGAAACCTCTCTCGGTTATCGTGCTAGCTTATAGTGCCAAAGGGTTTGAACACTGCATTTTCAGATACCCAAATCCTGTACTGTTTCTCTCGTTTTGGTTCACCCGCCCTCCAGCATCAGGTTTTCTGCAGCACTCGAAGTTTCTTCTGTCGTTACCTCCAGAGGCAGACCTGGGCGGGGGTCATCTTCGACCTGATCTTGTCCGCGTTGAAATCCTGCTGCTCTCTTCTGTGCTGCAGGAAGGTAAATGAACCTTGTAAACCAGGGGTGTCAAACATGTCCCACGGGCCGGATCCGGCCCGCTGAGGTGGTTCATCTGGTCCGCCGTCTATTCTTGACATTTTCGCCTGGATTGACTCTCAGCACCCTCCGTGCACGAGCCTATGGGTGCGGCCCGCAGGCGTCTGCGGTGTAAGGAATGCGGTCCACCGACCGATTTGAGTTTGATACCCCTGTTACAAACGTTCAGCGGGCGCATGTGAATATTCTGTGGTTTTCATTAAAACTTGATCACAGTTCAGTGCTCAAAGTTTTGATAATTCCATTAAAAATCAACCCTATGACAACATGACAAAGCATTACATATCAATCTGTATAGGTATCAGCTTCTGACTTCACAGAGGTACTGTGTACTTGACACTACTAGCCTAGACTGCTTTAGCTGAAAAACGAAGGCCCTAAATTGTCAGGACGAACACTTATCTTGCACCCTTTGTACAAAATCTGTTTGAAGACGGGTGATTTTTTAATGCCGACACCTGGTAGATCTCATCGTAGATTTCTTACGACTGTAGCATCCTTGCGGCTTTGGGCTACAGGTATTGCTGGACTCTTATCTTCCGCACTTATTAGTAGGAACTCCACGGAATTGTCTGAGGTTTCCAAGAAGAAAAAAAAAAAACAACTTGAGGCATTAATGACATTGTAGTAGAATATGGACTCTCTTACAGCTTCAAAGCCGAATGCGACTGATATACCTGATCCAAATGTAATGACATTCGGATCAGGTATTGCGTTGTAGTGAAAAAAAATTTCTTGAAGAGTTTGAATCCTTTTTTATTATTGTTTTGTCAAANTTTGAATCCTTTTTTATTATTGTTTTGTCAAATGGCAGAATACATTGGTAAAAAGGAGAAAGTAGAAGCACGATGGAAAAAAAAGTCTGATTCCTGACCTGCAAGAAAGTAAGGTTTCCTGGAGTTTCACATCCCCCTCCGGGAATGTAAATTCTTGCTTCGCCCTTTTTGTGATCGATCATCTCTCACGTTTCTTCAAAATCATTTAACTTTCCTGTTGCGTATTTTTTTTTTACAATTGTGATCTTACTATTTTATGCGGGGGTTAAGACTTTCTTTTTTAAATCCCATGCTTTGTTGCCAGGAATGGCACTAGGGCCCAGGGAGTCCGGGGAATGGATCGCAAAGCAAGCGGAGCATGTGAAGATCAACCCCGAGGCCGTCCGTCGCCTTGCCACGCGCCTGGCTGCCGACTACAAAGACGGGAAATTCACCGATAACTACGACCAATGGGAGCCACACCCGAAGACCCGAGACAAGTCCACATTAGAGTGGATCTTCTGGGTTTCCACGTTGAATTTCTCCTTCTGGACGGAGCCAGGGGAAGCCAAGTACTTGGTTACTCACAAAGGCCAGAAGTGGTCGGGGTATTTCTCCCTCTGTGCCGCTCTGAACCGGGCACTGGACCAGGGAATCCCCCTGCTGGATCCCGCCTTTTATTCCACCCTCACTCTCCAGCAGGTTAAGGACATCTTCAAGTCGGACTCTGGAATGGAAATTCCCCTCGTCGAAGAACGACATCAAGTCATCACCGAAGCAGGTCTCTGTTCCTTCTCTTTCTAGGAACTCCCTTATGTAAATTGAAGGACTGAAAAGGAAATTGGTTTATCTGTAAATATTTATTTTCTGAAGATGCACACGGAAAAATGAATATTTCCGTGAATGTTTTCTTGAAAGTGAGGAAAAGTGGTATGCGTAGATAGACCAAATTTTCCGTTTTATAAATCCCAAAAACCACCACGGAAGAACGAAAGAAAAAAGGGTCTATATTTTTTGCTGATAGGCCCCATTTTCTTTCAACCCTTCAATTATATAGTCCAGGGTGTCCGTGAAGTGACTATCTATGGGCAACTGGTCTATTATTGAATGTAAGGTAACCATTTATTTTGTGCGTTTAGATTGGGTGTCTGTAGACCTCGGAATGATGTTACATTTTTGCCCATTCCATTTTGGCTTGACTGAGAAATAATTTCTCTGATCCCCTGTTTGGGTTTAAGCAAATCGAACTGGACTTCAGTACGCCCTTCATTGGTAGCCACACAAAGTTAATGTCCAACAGACATGTTTCCCGACGTTCCAGTTGTGAATCAAACGGACTTTCTAACGTTTGTGATCATTATTTGAATTCACATTTTCCTCAAATGCAGGACCTAATCTTGCATCTCCTAGAAAACGTATACCTAACCCTTGAGGAGAGCTCCTCAGCCCTTGAGTTTTTCAAACAAGGGTCCGATAGGTTGATTCCCAGTCACAAAAAAAGCGGAAGAAAGGAAGACGTCGCATCATTCCGAGGTTTGCAGATAGTCTGTCTACGCACATCAAGTAAATGTGATAAGATTCAGTAATAAAAATGTGGCCGTAGATAGTTACTTCATGAACACCCTCTTCATTGTGGAATGATGTAGCACCACCGGTCGAGCCAGTACATGCGCGAAAGATAGCGGTATCGAATGTCGGGAAGGTCCTTAATTCAACCATTTGAAGGTCTTTCTACCGGGATTCCTGGATGAAGGGACGGTTTTGATTTATAGGCCATTTATTCTAACAACGTACCGCTCAATGTGGTTGGACAGTTGGCGGGTCCTCTACAGAAAGAACATTTTTCAGATCACACGAGAACGTTGGAAATGAAAAGAAAATATTTATTCATCAGTGGAATGAACCAAAGCCTATTCAGCCTACAGTTCCGCACCCTCGTTTTGTCGAGAGTAACGCGGCAGGATCGTCAGTTTGTGCTACGATAGCACAAGGCAGTGGATGATAAGATCTAATGGAAGTGCAAGTTAGGCATAAGTACCACTATCGTAGGTACGTACATTAAGGCCACGAGCCTCTCCAAGTGTGTCAGAGCATAGATCTCAAACAGCCCTGTAAAAAATGTTTTCTCACAGGTATATGCGGCCTTAGTTTTAATTCCTCCTTAATTTATTTCTCTCTTTCACTCACACACTCTCCTTTTCCCTTGTCTTTCCCCATATTATTTTTTCCCACCTTTCCGGATATGCATTCCCCCATAACTTGGTGACCTCCAACTGCATCCCCTACCAGCTACGTCCCCCGAGGCAAAGGAGACAAAAGGTGGTTAGATGCCGTAGAGCGGCACCGACCGTCAAATACTGTACGGAGTCGGGGGATTTAGCCACGCCACAGATTGTACGTGCACCACTGATCGTTGACAACGATCCTTTTGACGACCTTCGGGGGGTTTCAGTCTCGGCCGACATCCGGTTGTCGGTGCGGGACGGACGACCTCGGCTCACACAATATTATGTATGCTTTTCCATGCTCCTCAGCAACCATCAGTCATTCCTATCATCTTCATTCGTGAAGGAGATTTTCGCGATCACGCGTATCGATTCCGACCTAACTTTCCCTTGCTTATGCCCCATTTCCTTCGCTCGGCAGCTCGCATTCTCTCGTTTTGTCACTGAGCATCGCCTGTTTTTCGCAGTTCTGAGCCGACTAGCCAACAATGGCGTAGCGAGGGGGCGGGGAGAGACTACAGCCCCCCCTCTCCTTAAGTTTGATTCGAGCTCCCCCAACTCTGGTCAAAATTTATCCCCCCCCCCCCCCTCCTTCCCCCCGGCGAGGGGGAAATTCTAGTTTCTAATTTCACACCCCCCCCCTCCATTGGCGAAATCCCGGCTACGCCACTGTTTAGCAAGTTGTTGGGTTCGTTAATTGCCGTAATGACGTTATGGTGACGTTGTCACCAAAAACGGCTCCTGTTCGACTGTGAAGTATGAAGCGCCAAAATAACCCTCTTCCACGACTGTTTCAAGATGCACTTAACCCTAATCCGGGCAAGGTGAGTCCGCTGGACTCACTACGACATATTTCGGTCTATTACTGTCATTATTTTTTTCGTAGGAAAATGAGCTTTCGTGACTTTGTCACCTTGTTCGTGAACCTTGCCCGGAATAGGTTGTAAAAAAGCTTGCCCGGATGAGGGTTAATCGGTACTTGATTTAGATTAACCCTGCATCGTAGCCATATTTTCCCTTTCTGGTTTCTTTATTTCCATGAAGAAAACCCTATTTTCTTTGAAAAAGCAGTGAGGCTAAAGGCTTTCCCACTTCGCGTCTTTAGCGTGTGACGCGTGCCATTTAGTGATGCATGCGATTTGCTTGTCGGTTCGCGTCCACTTACGTTTGAACACAAAGGTAGACGTGTGTGTGTTCATGTCCACTTGCAGGTGAAAAGGAAATACAAGACGATCGCTAGGATTCAGGTTCCGTCCAATTCCGAGGGCCAGACGCTCTCATTCTTCCGTTCACGCGCTGCGTTTCCCCCTTAGGACATACGAGTGGACGCGCAAGTACTCGAGTGCATTCCCCTTCCACGCAAATGAGCATGCATATAAACGCATGCGTTCTTGGGAGTGAAACGCGGGAAACGCAAAATGCGAAACAGCTCGTATTTGTACTAGTATTATCGTCCGTGCTTGTCAGCGACCATCGGCGCGAAGCTTCCGTCCTCGTTTGTGGAAACACTGTTGCCTCGAGCTCCACAACATTTTTACAATTCACAAATCTGATAAGCGTGACATCTGACTATGGAACATTTTCATCCAGTGAAAAGTTCGTGATTAAATAAATTGGAAACAGGAAACCGTAATGGAGGAGCTTCGACGTGAACACATCGGCCTTCTCGTTCGCTCGGACCGCAGACCATTCCCTTGCGCTTCGTCTCCACATTTTGAAACCGTTCCACTTTTTGCAGTTGGCGTGCTATACGTCCAACTGGAGGAATTGATTGAAGCAGAAAAAGGGAATGACAATCTTGTTGTGATGGGAGACTGGAATGCGGTAGTTGGAGAAGGCAGAGATGGAAAGGAGATTGGGAAGTTTGGATTAGGGCAGAGAAACGAACGAGGAGAGAAGCTTGTAGAGTTCTGTA